AGTGATTCAAGGAAATGATGCCAGCTAGAAGGAGAGACAGCCCAACAAACACACAGAGACACAGAGGCAGAAGGACAAAGTAGCGAGAGGCATCCAGGTCGTAGAGGCCAACGAAGCAAACCCCGCTAATATTGTCCCCCTCAACTTTGTTCATAGCAAGCAGCATGACGGTGAGAAAACCAGGCGTGCCCCAGGCGACCGCGTGGAACCACACCGCTTTTTGTTCAATGGCCTCACAGCTCCACTTTCTTCCTGCAGCCAAGAACCAAGTGACGGTGAGAATCACCCACCACACGGTGCCTGCCATTGTGAAAAAATACAAAAACATAAAGACCACGCTGCAAGCCTTATTCTTCGATCCCAGAACAACCGTGTCCCCGAGCTCCAGCTTCTCATCCGCCTTATTACACGCTGTGGTGTTGCCCAGCAGAAACCCAACAAAGTACATGAGAGAAACAATGCTGTAACAGACGGAGTAATAGATGATTGGTCTCTCTGGGTACCTGAATCTTCTAACGTCAATTAAAAATGTAAGGAATGTGAACAGAGTTGCACAGAGACAAAATATTGAAACTATCCCTATGAAACTTTTGGCAAAGTCCAGCTCATCAGTTTTAAAATACATGTTGGGGCAGGGAGGGGCACTGGGGTTGATCCCCAGAAACTTATAGCCTTGTTCTCCGGAAGCCTTAAGATGCTTTGGACACCAAAAGCCAATGTCTCTTGGGACTTGTTCTGTTTTCCTCTGAGGACCCAGGAGCTCTGTGTGTGGATCAGGAGTTACAGGAACAGTGGCGTCACAGTGTGGCAATCTGTAAAGGTCACAAAAACTCAACATATGAGGTCATCAGCCTTTAAATCTTTAAAAAACATATTTTCATGAATTCTTTAGAATTTCATTCATGTGCACAGTGTATTCCGATCACATACCCCCTCTCTGTCCCCCCTCAGTCCTCTCAGATCCACCCCCCACCTGCTCTTATGCTTTCCAAGTATAAACCATGGCCTTGTTGCATTCATAGTTGACGGGAGACATACAAGGCTGAGTGATTATCTTTAGGGTTGGGTAGAGTTTTGAAATTGACTAAAAACTGTGGTTGTTCATGAAACCTCAGCCCACTTAAATATAAGAAGAAGAAGATAGTAAACCATAAAAAAAAATCTACTCCTTGGAAAATGATTAATTGTCACAATTTTAGATATTTTCTGCCTTTAAGACTGAACATTTAGGAGAATGTATAACTTACCTAATTTAGTAATTTCCAAAGTACTGGCTTGCCTAATTATAGTGTATGAAATATAAATCCCAAGGAAATGGCCTTTCTTTATTTTAGGTGTGTGGGACTCAGTGTGAGCCTCTGCACACGCTGGACAATGTGAGTGTGAGCCTCTGCACATGCTGGACAATGTGATGTGAGACTCTGCACATGCTGGACAATGTGATGTGAGACTCTGCACACACTGGACAATATTAGTGTGAGACTCTGCACACACTGGACAATGTGAGTGTGAGCCTCTGCACACGCTGGACAATGTGAGTGTGAGCCTCTGCACATGCTGGACAATGTGAGTGTGAGACTCTGCACACACTGGACAATGTGATGTGAGACTCTGCACATGCTGGACAATGTGAGTGTGAGCACACACTGGACAATGTGAGTGTGAGACTCTGCACACACTGGACAATGTGAGTGTGAGCACACACTGGACAATGTGAGTGTGAGCACACACTGGACAACGTGAGTGTGAGCACACGCTAGACAATGTGAGTGTGAGCACACGCTAGACAATGTGAGTGTGAGCACACACTGGACAAGTGCTCTTTTCGCTGAGTGCCAGCCCTACTCTATTTTCTTTTCTAACGCTCACAGCAATGCCTGATTAATCATGTGACCGAGGGGATAGAACTAGATGGCTGAGACGAGTGACAGGGTGGAGCTTACATTCTTAAAGGAAGGACAAGACAAGACAAACATCGAGACACAGGTTGGGAACCAGCTTGGCTCACATCCCTGGTTTGGTCGTGGACAATCTGAGCAACACACAGATACTTCTCTTCTGTGCAGAACTGTACCACTGTGCTGAATTTGAATACACTGGTATTATTTCGAAGGGTCTATATGGTTTAAAAACAATGAGAACACATCCAAAATATAAGAGACTAAGATTAAAATAGGTAATAAGTGGCTCAGTGGTTAAGAGCACTGGTTGCTCTTTCAGAGGTCCTGGGTTTGATTCCCTGCACCTTCCTGGCAGTTAACAGCTTTCTGGAACTCCAGTCCCAGAGGATTAGACATCTTTTCCTGGTATCTACGGGCATTGCATCCACCTGCTGCATAGACATTCATGAAGGCAAAACACTTACACACATATCAAAAAAAACACCTTTGAAGTTACAGGGGTGGGGAGGAGATTAAGGGCTGGGTGTGGTACCGCATACCTTGATCTCAGCATTGAGGAGGCAGAGGCAGGCTCATCTCTGTGAGCTGGAGACCAGCCTGCTCTACAGAGTAAGTTCAAGGTCAGCTAGGACTACCTAGTGAGACTCTGTCTCAAAACAAAGACAGGGAGATAGACATAGATTCCTGCAGAATGAATACTCACAACCTCTCCACTTTATTAAAGAAGTAACATAATTCAATTCTGCTTAGAATCTCTAAAAAAATAAAGCAACACAACATCACACACACGGTCAGGCCTCCTTTCAGGTCGGATTCCCTTTTCTTTCTTCTCAGGAGCATGAGTTACCAGAGATTTGCTTTTTGTTCTCCTCAAGTAATTAAAGT